CTGGAGGATTATTTCTCTTCCTATATTGAACCAAACACAATTATATCGATTATACCACTTCATTTTCACAACTATTTTATAGGGTAAATATTATTATCATAACAGTCATTTTGTATGTAAGGAAGCTGAGACTTTTCCTGACTTTATGATGTGGCAAAAGCCAAGTTGATTTTTGAGCTTAGAAATTTAGAAGGTTCAAAGTTAGTTTAAAATTCATATCGTACAAATTGGGTTGGGTTATAGAAATTGGAAATATCTTTATCTGCAATGTGCTCTTTTGGTTTAATGATATCTGTACTATAAGTAATTCATGTCAAACTTGTCATCCTGCTGCCTTAGCCTCCCAAGTAACTGGAATTATAGGTGTGCATTACCATGCCTGATTGTATATGTTATAATTTTGCAAGCCAGTTTCTTTATTGATTAACATTTAGGTAATTTTCCACTCTGGGATATTAAAAATAGTGCTGTAATGAACTTCCTTTTACATATATCTTTACACATATACAGGTATTTCTCTAAATACTTAGAGGTAACATTCGCTTAAAGGCTTTTACATTTAAAATGTTGGTTATTGTTTTCAAATCATGCTTTTTTTTTTGGTCTGTTTTTAGGGGGGCTAAAATTTTTTTCTTATATCCCCATAAACACTGGATATTGCAGTGTTTTTTTAAAAACCATTCTTATGGATGAATACATAGTGTCTCCTTGTTTTAATTTGCATTTGCTTAATATTTAATGAACTTGAGCATCATTGTGTGTTTTACTAGGGATTAGTATTTCTTTGTTGAATTTGCAGTTAATTTCCTTTCTCATACATGCAAAATTAGTTGAGTTGAGAAAGCCCTTTATATATTAATATTCTGTCCTAATTTGTGACTTTTCTTATATTGTCATTATAGATATTTTGCTGTCTAGAAGTTTTTAGCATTAATTATTATTATTATTATTATTATTTTTTGCAGTGCTAGGGATTGAATCTAGGGTCTCGTGCATTCTAGGCGAGGGCTCTGCTACTCAGCTAAACCTCCAATTGCTTAGCACTGAGTTTTAACCAGATAGTTTATTCATTTCCTTTAGAACTTGTAGTATCTGGGAATCTCTCTCTAATGTATGAAACATTGCCCTATTTTTGTTATAGCACTCTTAAAGTATATATAGGTGGTTCTCTGAGGGTTCTATATTTATAGATTCAACCAGCTACACATTGAAAATATCCAGAAAGAAAAAAGGAACATGTATAGGTCATTTTCCTTACCATTATTATCTAAATAATACAGTATAACAGCTTTTTATGTATTACCTATATTGTGTTGGTTATTATAATTAATCTAGAGATGATTCAGAGTATATGAGTAGAGTATATATGTATGTAGGTTATATGAAAGTATGCAATTTTATGTGAGGGGCTTCAGCAGCTGCAGATTTTGTATCCATGGGGAATGAGAGATCCTTGAATCAACCCTTCACTACGCTGATACTGAGGGACAAATGTGTACATTTTTATTCTTAGCTCATCTGAATTCTATTTTAATTTATGACATGAAATAGGAATATTCTTCAGATGGATATCTAATTCTTTCCATACTGTTTATTAAATGACCACTGTAACTAATTTGAAGAGAAAAAAGAAAACAGTGAAACAGAATACAGGATAAAAATAAATCTGCCTTAGGGCCAAAACTATATTGTCTTAATTAATGCAGTTTTATTGTATATTTTGATACCCAGTAAGGCTCGTTTCCATCCTTACTGTTCATTTCAAACAGCCTATTAGTTTCTCTCAAAAGTATGGATGGGTTTTTAATTTTGATTGCCCTGAATTCATCAATTAAATTGGTATAGACTGATATTTGCAGAGATTCAGGTGCATGGATATCTTTACTATATTAAAAATTTTAATTTAGGAATAATATGACATTAAACTTCCAGCTCCTTGTGTTCTCAGTTAAATTTTTATTTAGAAGGAAATATTTGTACACTTATAGCTAGTAAATGCTGAGTATTTTATGGTTTATTTTTTGATTTATTGATGTTTTTATATATTGGTTCATTTAAAATGAACATTGCTTTACTGAACTCTTATTAGTTGTAATATTTTTTCTCTTGAATTTCTAAGATTTTCCAAGTAAAAATAATAGTGTAACCTGAAAATAATGAATTTCTGACTTTTCCTTTTCAATTATTTATGGATTCTTTTTCCACATGCTTACATAAGCAAGCCAAAGATATCTTAGGTTATTTCTTTTCTACAGAATGGAATGTTGGTATAGTCATCTGATTGCTTGATACGCGAACAAAGTATCATTTTCCAATATGGAGTCTTATAATTTTTTCTTTACTTTCAGGATATCTAAACATGAACTTTATAAACTAGCCTAATTGAGGGAGAACATTTTGATAACAATGTTTAGGACTCTGAAAAAAAGTTAGGAAAGTGTTCATTTATTTAAAACAGTTCTCTCACATGCACACATGCAATATAATCTCTCTCTGTCAGTCTCTTTTACACACACATAAACACACATTTATTTACTCACTATGTTCTAGTAAACGTTAAGAGTGAATATCATTTAAATTATTGTATTGTAGTCATATATTTGGACCTATTAGCTGAAGTAGAGGAGTAGCAAACCTTAATGAAGTAATTTCCAGTTGTATGTGTCATTGATTTCCCGGGCTTGTAAGACCCTAGGTATTCCTGCCTATAGATATCAACTAGTTAATTCTTATCAGTGGATTAATGCACTGATTAGGTTAAAGCTCTCATTACCTAGCCATTTCATCCCCAAACTTTCTTTCATTGTCTTACACATGAACTTTTAGGGGACATCTCATATTTAAACTATAATGGTATGTACAGTTGAAGTTTACTTTGTTGGGTGTGTTGTATTGTGGTCCATCCACTCAACTATCAATTTTTTTCCCCAAAATACCTTCTATCTATCTACCTATTTTTTTTCTTTTGTGGTGTAGGATCTTATATTTGAAATTCACATTCTTCCTCTTCTGCATTTGAATATGTAAATCCCTTACTGTTCATGGAGGTTCAAAACAAACACCCTCCCCTCCACAAGATTCTTTTCTAAGGCAAAAAATTACTTGGTACATTCTTCTGTTAAAACAGTTATCACATTGTACTATAATTGTTTATTTTTATTTCTGTGTCCATCATAAACTGTGAGGTGATTGAGACTGTGCCTTCACCAATATCTAGCAGAATAGCTGGTATAGGATTAGTAATCTGTACATTTTTGTTGAATGAATAAATTTGAATATGTGCTTACAAAAAATTATAAAGTGAAAGATAAAAAAGGGTATGGGGAAGTCGCAAGTCTAACAGTATTAGAGGTTTCTATGGAATAGGTGTTGGAAGCATATTTTCTGATCAGATAAATAAAAGTATAAACTTCAGTTTAGAGATATGCATTTTGATATAGTAATGTTTACTATTGGTGAAGATTTATTAGATTAAGTGAAGATCCAAGTGTGTGAGGCTATGAAATCATGTTGAAAGTCAGTAAGAAAAACAGTGTCCACTCAGGTACAAACCCTCCAAGGACACGATTTTGAGAAGGCATGTACCATTAGAAAGTACATTGCAGCTGCTTCTCTATAGGTAATATGTATTATTGGTTTACAGGTTACCATATAAAAAAATTTAAGAATTGCTAGTTTTCCAGTTGCACATGTAAAGCTGGATCTATCAGCTTGAGTGGCAATAAGTATGTTTTCTTTCATTTCTGACTTTTTATTCTGCATTTTCATTGTATCAGAGATTGAACCCAGGAGCACTTAACCACTGAGCCACAATCCCAACCTTTAAAAAAATTATCTATTTATTTATTTATTTTGGTACTGAGGATTGAACCCAGGGATGCTTAACCACTGTGTCACATCTCTAGCCCTTTTTTTTTTTTAATTTTGAGACAGGGTCTCCCTAAGTTGGTTAGGGTCTTGCCAAGTTACTGAGGCTGGCTTTGAACTAGGTATCCTCCTGCCTCAGCCTCTGGGGCCACTAGAATTATAGGTGTGTACCACAGGACCACCATGTGTTCTTTGAAGTTTTTAATATGTTTGTTAAAAAAACTAATCACACCTAGATTTTAAGATTTTTAGGGGCACTCATGAAGCTTTTCCAGGCACCATTTAGATGCTTAATAATTGTTGAATTTAATTGAAAATTTCAGTTTTATTATATATATTGATTACACTTGATGACTTATATATTTCTTGTAAATACTCTTCAGTGTTATCGAGAGAGTGATTTGATAATCAGTCCAGTTTCTTTTCAAGTAAAATAAATACTTCAACTGAAATAAGGATAATCACATCTCTAGCAATATCTGAAGGCCACACTTAGTACTCTTTTGAATGATTTAGATAAAAAATAAAGATTTACCAATATCTTATTTATTCTAAAACTTTTAAGCAATCTCTTGAAATGTCCTATGAAATTTTGATTTAAATTTATGTACAAATAAAATGAGAGATGTCAAATAAGAATAGTTTAACACAACCCAAGACAGTATATGTTAGAAATCAGGTTCAGTGGTTCCATAGTATTGATGATCTACACTGCTAGGGCTAGCAGAGGTCATTCCATAAGAAAGGTATAGGATGGTAGTTGCTTAGGTTGCTTCAATATGTTCTAAACTTGGTTTACAGTAGCATATTGCAGTTAGATGGTATATTCTGATTATATAAAAGGTGATGGATACTGTTTTTCAAATAATGTATTATATAGAGATGTTGACTCTGAAATTATTAAAATTGATAAAATTATTCATACATATTTTTAAATTAGTAATTTATCTTTATTCTGATTTAGTTTTTCTTTTCCTAACATCGCAATTAATTTTAAAAACAGAAAATATATTAAGAAGATACACCACACTGTTTTCTTTTAAAAATTTTGTAGTTTTATTCAGCCATTTAAAAAGAAATTTGGAAAGCCATCTTTTCTGTATTAACATTTTGGTTTTGATTTCTTGCTACAGGTTTTTAACACATACTCCAATGAAGACTATGACAGGAGAAATGATGAAGTTGACCCCGTGGCCGCATCTGCTGAGTATGAACTTGAAAAGCGTGTAGAGAAGCTAGAACTTTTCCCAGTGGAACTAGAGAAAGGTACATGAGTGCTACAATGTTCACAACATCATTATGTGGCTGTGCTAATAATATAGGATTGTTTTTCCAAAGTCTAGTCTTTTTTTTTTAAGGATTGAATAAAGCTTTAATTCTCACAGAAGATCTATTTATTAAGTTTCAAAAATAGTTGATATGGATTCTAATAGTTGATTGGATCGAAAGACTCCTACCTCCTACTGCCAATTGAAACTCATCCTCTGTAGTTGTTTGGAATGGTGGTTGAGATGGAGGGAGGTATGAGTGAGGCCTAGGCTTTGCCTGTATTTCTGGAAAGAACTGGTGCAGGAGAGAGGCCAGAGAAAGATCTATAAGTGAGAGTGGGGAGAGTAGGTGCTATTTTTGGTGGCGAGAGAGTAGTTATGGTTAGGCTCAGAATGTGAATGGGAAATGCCTTTGGAAAATTATAGATATTTTGGATCAAAGGCAATAGGATTCAGAAAGATTTAAATGGTAAGGTTGTTTATCTTCCCTGTCTTTGAGGGGAGTAAGGAGAAAGAACAAAGGGGCTTCATCCTGATTTCTCTCCCTGGAAGGACAGTTTCCCTGATGTAGTAACTGCTGACTCATGGTACCAGAGACTGCCTCATTTATCATCGTATAAGATGTGTACCCAGGAACTGGACTGTCATCCAGTGAACATTAAATTAATAAATCTCACAAGGCTTTGGAAAAAAAGAATGAATAGATGATAACTTGAATAACCAAGAAAGAATATTCATTAAAATTTTAATATTTATTTATAGTATTAATTAAGAGATGTTCCAAACTAATTCTCAAATGACAAAGTAAATATCCAAGAAAAATCATGAAAGAGCACCAGTATGTAAATTATAGGCAACAGAAGGGGAAAAGACAATGGAGGAGGAGAGACATATAATAATAGAAGAAAGTTTTTTGGACTAGAAAAAAAATTTCTTGGAATAAAAGAAAAAAAGACCTGAACTTCCTGTTAGAAAGGACTTAGTTGTGAATGAGAAGACTTTACACCAAAAAATACTAGGCATAGGCTGGGAAAATCCTAATATTCAAAGATAACATAAAAAATATAAAATACCAGACTTAAAAACTCCAAAGTAAACAAATCAGAAAAAGTATTTGATGGGCAAGATGATTATATTAGTGTCAGATTTATTTTCAACTATAGGAACAGGGAGATGGAGGTATAATTTCATAGGCCACTATGAATAAGAAGGATGATAGAATCCCCTCCCCATCCCAGAGAGCATTTGCTTATTCTGGTGAAAGAAAGAAATGTGCTGACATGTAAGGATTTAAAGAATACATCAAGTACATACTTTATCTGTGTAATATACTTCCCAATTACTAGGGAGGCAAAGAAACTTGTTTAAAATAGTAAAGGGAGGAAAAATAGAGGTGAAAACTATGTGAATGTTAAACACAGAAGTGTCCAGATGGAGAAAATATGAATGAGAGCATTAGTCATTATACTGTGCATGATTGATTATTCCCATTAAGAAACTTTCATTTGGGGTTAAAGTGAATTAAAGAGTGATGCCTATATTTTTTTATAGATTTAAAATTGTGGAAAGCATTATAACAGCTAGAATTGACTGTGTGTTTTGTATTGCTAATAAAAGCCAAAATGAGAACAATTCAAATGTTCATCAGTGTTAGAAATTGCCTATAAATTGTAGCATATTTAGTTAATAAAATATTACTCAGCAGTGAAAATGAATGAACCACACAGTTTACATGTAGCAGAATGTGTGATTTTTGCAAACATGAAGTTGTGAGAAAATTTAAAAAGCAGTTGGGAGAGGAAGTCATGCAATTATAATTCCATTTATTTAATTTTCAAAACTAGGAAAAGTTGAACAGCTTATTATTTAGGGATGGGCACACAAGTGTTTTTTCTTAAGTATTTTGAAAAGGAAAAGTGATTAACATAATGTTTAGGAATAAGGGAAGAATTACAGTGTCATGGAAGAGTACATAGATGGTTATTGAGTGTTGGTAACATTCTTTATATTTGTTAGTAAGTGGCTGTTTAGTTATTTTTGTTCCCCAAATATAATGTTTTGTAGATAAATGTTTTCATAAGCTCTTGTATATATGCTATATTTCATACTAAAAATTAAAATAGAAGATAACAAAATGCAATACAATTATCAGAGAGTTTAATGCACTTTCAGAACTAGAGAGATCTGTAGACAGAAAACAAAGATATTGAGGAGTGGATTAATATAATCAACTCAATTTAAAAGTTGCGTTCAAAAGAAAAAAAAATTCTTTTCCCTTAAAAAAATTTTAAACCCCTTTAATATCATGAGAATTTCAAGGTAGATGTTTGATCAAATAAAAAATTAGACCTATTGTTCCAAACCATCATGGAATGGATTATTTAAAACAAACCTCTAACACAAAATAAAAACCTTACTCAGAATGAAAGTTATATCTTTAACTTTAAAAAAGTAGAAGAAAAAATATTTGTCATGTAAATCAGAAAAAAGTAAATAAAATTTTAAAAGCGAGTACAGAGGACATTAAAAAAAAATAACAAGTTTTTTTATTGAAAGATCTCTAAAATATATCAACCCTTCATAATCCTGACTGAGCAACATTATATGTATTTGCTTTTCATTCCTAATTTATAATTTCTATATTTTTGCTTTCAGTATTCCTCATTCAGGATTATGAAGGGTTGATATATTTTTTCACTAAATTTCTTTGACAAAAATGATGAATACCTAGAAGTAATTTATTACTTCCTAGCAAAATAGGAGTTACTAAAATCAATTCAAGTTAGACAAATTGCCATAGAATAAATTAGAATGATGACTACAGATAAAATATTAAAAACTCATCAGAACCAGATGAGTTTAAAGGCTATACAAGTCTGTGTGAGACTATTTTATATCATAGAAAATGAAGGAAAACTCTTTCAAGGATGCATGGAGCCAGGCACAGTGGTACAATCCTATAATCCCAGTGACTCAGGAGGCTGAGGCAGGAGAATCACAAGTTTAAGACCAGCCTCAGAAATTTAGCAAAGTCCTAAGAACTTAGCAAAACCCTATCTCAAAAAACAAAAAGGGCTGAAAAGAAAAAAAAACAAAAAAGATAACATATAAACTTTAGTTTACACTAAAAGTTAATAATGCTACAAAAATGCTACAAAAATGACTATAGGACAACTCAGTATAAATATATGTTTTAAAATTCTAAATGAAATAAAATACTAAATACAGAAATATTTAAAGAAAAAAATGCATTAAGACTAAACAGGGTTTTAGATAGGAGGATATAGAGTAGTTCATTATTAGGAAATTTATTCAAAAAAAATTGAAAGGAAAAAGTCTGTAGTCAAGGTTAAGAGATATTTGATAATGTTTAGTTATTTCAAATTAAATACTCTATTCCTGAATATTATACAAAATATAGATCATAAAGAATTATATTTTTAAATTGAGGAGACACTATAAATATTTCAGTTAAAACTGGGAGGCAATGTCCTTTGCATGAAATGATCAGTCCAAGAAAAGAAAATACATAAAGAAATACCTCCTTTTGCTGATATATCTATAACCCTATCTGTGTTAGCTTTCTGTTACTATAATACAATTCCTGAGATAATAAACCTTAAAAGAAGAACAGTGTATTTTGGGATCATGTTTTTGGCCATGATCAGTTGGCACCATTGCTTTTGAGCCTGTAGTGAGACAGTATATTATGGAGGGTATAAGCGATGGAGGGACTTGCTCATCATGACAGCCATGATGTAAAAAATAGAAAGGGATGGAGTTCCAGGATCCCACTAAAGGGTGTACCCTGAGTGGGCTCACTTCCTTCCACTAGGCCTCACTCCCAAGCTGAAGAAAGCCTTTAATACATGGGCCTTTGTGGAACACTAACACAATGTATAATGATATCTATGTCCACCTTGGAAACCAAATTAATTCAATTTAAAAATATTAGAATTGGTAAGATAATTTGTAAAGGAGAAAGTCAGATTCAAGATGCCTATAAAACTTGTTTTTTTTTTCTCTGTATTCACAGTAAGAATTTAGAAGTAGAAATGGGAAAATGTTTTATTTATAATAGCACCCAAACAACAAAATACTTATTAAATTCATTACTAAGAAACAGGATTTATGTATAGAAAATAATAATTTTTCTTTGAAAGACATTAGATTTAAGCTAGTTAAAAGTTATACTATGTTCTTGGATGGGAAAACTCAGTTTAGAAGCATGTCCATAAATTAAGATATACATTTAGTATAGTTCAAATAGAACTGCCAACAACATTGAGTTGCTAGAAGGGATTGTGTAGGACAGTCTTTAATTTTATATGAGAAATTATGGATGTAAGGGAAAAAGGAAATAATACAAAGGGCTTAATTTACCAAATATCTGGACATAATGTTAAAGCTTCTATAATGAGAACAAATTATATTTATATATTGGTGAGACAAAATAGAAGATCTAGAGAAAGATATTAGTCTGCAGAAATATTTAGTATGGCACACATCTTATAGGTAATAGCACATTTTATAAATTTTTCTAGCATAACTGAGCATCTATTGGAAGAATATAAAGTTAGATGCCTGCATTATATCATATTTTAAAAGCCTACATAGATTAAATAATTAAATTTTAAAAGTTATTGATATTTGAAGAAATTTTATAAAATTCCATTTATCAGCTTGGCTGGTGAGAGGATGACCTTAACCCAGAAGGAAAACCCAAAGTTAGAAAAGATGAACCAATTTAGCTTTTAAAGGTAATTATCTCAAACAAAATTAAACAGGTGATAAATTGCCCTCATTGTAGATGACAAAACCAATGTCTACAATATGCTAAGAATCTCTGAAAATTATCAGGACAGGAGAGACAGGTAAAATTCAATAGAAAAAAAAGTGGTACTTTTCAGAAGAGGAAATCTAAAATGATCTACACTGCTTTACACTCTCAGTCACTATGAAGGAAATGTTGTACAACTTGGGCTTCTTGCCTGAGAGAGAAAGTCAGTGTTGAGCAGTGTGGTGATAGCATCTTCCATGGTAGCATAGCCTCACTGTCTTCCACATCCTTGTTGGCTCTTGACCCATTTAGAGCCTTTGCCTGTCCCTAGGAATGTAGATAGAGGAGGATACAGGGACTGCTTGCTTCTTGACAGTGCAGCCCCAGGAATCAGTGGCCTTCAAACATGTAGTTCTGAATTCCATCCTTCTCCCTCTGAACAGAGAAGAGATGAGATGCTTGGGAACATCAGTCACCTGTCTCTGTGCATCCATTGGGTTCTTCCTTGTTTCACCCTCAGTCATTGCCTCCTTCTTATAGGAATTCAGTATGGATCAAGTTAATTTTGCTTTTCTGCTACTAGATTTTTAGCTTTGAAAATCCGAGTGATTTTCTCATTAGAGCAATGAGAAGCACCATGGAAGCAAAGAAAAGAATAAAGACAACAAAAAATCTTTAGGGAGGCCTGAGTCCAGGCAGGAAAAGTGATTTAAAAACCAAGAAGTTATTTTCACACAGAATAGTTGCTGGAATTTCCTCTCATGACAGTAAGAGATTTGACATTTGAGAGGACCCTTTGAATATATATGGGAACATTTTGATCAAAGTATAATATTGGTTTTAACAAGTTGTAATGAAGAGAAACCCTCTAAGTATAGTGAACGTGAGGAGGAATTCAAGCACAATGCTAATACTCTAGAGATTTCGCTCAGGAAACAAACCTTTAGTGTGGAAGAGCTACAATGATCATCTCTTTAAACCACAGGAGAAATACACTGGGGTGAGGCTATGCATGTGGATGTGTATACGGTGGGAAGGCTTTCAGTAACCATTGCAGGAACAAATTCACATGCTAGAGAAGCTCGATGATTGTGATGAGTCTGAACAAGAATTTAGCCATCAGCTAACCTTGATATATACTAGAAAATTCTCATGGGAAAGAAGAAATCTTAAACACTAACCATTGTGGAAGAGCCTTCAACACACATCTGACCTTCATGTACACAAGAAAACTTATTCTGAGGGAAATCTTTAGCAAAAGAATAAGTATTTGAACCAGAGAAGTGATTTCAATGAAATTAATATGAGAAACCACATATATGTAAACATTCTAAATGGTGATCACTCAGACATTAGTTAGTTGTAAAGATCTAACACTGGAGTGATACCTATGCCTACAATCAGTGTGGAAGTGCCTTCAGCTGGTGTTCATATGCAAAAACCTATCCAGGGAAAACATCATAAAAATTCCTTGTGGAATACTACTGAGCAAACAAATCACACTTTGCCAATGATTTGTTTTTGAATGTATGTAGAATAAAGATGTAGGGTTGTGATAGTCATAGTTAAGGCAGAAGATAACATATAATAATCAATGAGATAAATCCTCTTCAAAGAATTGTAATTATGAATATATAGTAATGTTTATTGCTAAAAACTGTTTTAAAACACCAAGCATCCTATTGAGTATGTGGGGCTTGTTTTCCTTTAATAATCCATCACTGTTGATTAGCTAGTATCCGTTTTTTATGCTGCTGACAAATCATGATTACAAAGACTTTGAGGCTATCAAAAAATAACCTTGACTGTTAAGCAAAGCACATAGGGTACAAAATAGTGTGTCTTTTAATTCACTGGTGTTGAACTATATATGTTCTTGGAAAGGGCAAATGGAAACATGAATAAACACATAAATTATTAAGTAAATGAAAAATAAAATAAATGTCAGTATTGCTTATAGTGCCAAAACAAAATAAAAAATTGAAACAAAGGTGAGTGCCTGACAATAGACAAATGGTTTAATATTTTTTATATCATCTTATCCTGAAGTATTATACAGTCATTAGAAATGATTTAAGCTATGTAAGTTGATATTCATAAGTTATCATTGAATTTTTAAAAGTAAGTTGCAATAGACTATGTAAAGGAATGTAAAAGAAGAAAAAAACAAATCTTCTGTGTGTGTTTATATATTTAAACTTTTGTTTAATGTATATACTTGTGTAGTTAGCACAGAGGAAAAACTCAAAGACACATACTGTCTTATTTTTCATAAACAAACAGAAAATGTGATCACATAATTAAAGAAGAAATTCCAAATCTTATGGATCATATTCATTAAAAATTATGCATGCATTTTAGTATGTGTGTGTTTATGCCTAAATAATTTAAAGGATTATTTGGAGAGTCTGTGTTTAGGTAGATTGACTATTCAGTAACAAAATCATTAGCTTTTCTGAGACCAGAATGAATTGCCAACCTCAATTTTAAAATGATGTGACACTCCTGAGCCCTTTGAGGAATCTTATTTGATAATCTTTTTCATCCTCTTATAAAAAATTTCTGCTGAGACAAGACTCTCATGTGTCCTGTTCATAAAGAAGAACAAAACTAGAAGCAGCAATAGGCCTTACCAACTAGTTATATCAGCTGGACCAGTGCAAAACCTTGGTTGCTTCATTCTTTTTTCTTTTTATAGATGAGGATGGTCTTGGTATCAGTATTATTGGAATGGGTGTTGGAGCAGATGCTGGACTTGAGAAACTGGGAATATTTGTCAAGACAGTAACAGAAGGCGGTGCTGCTCAGCGAGATGGCAGGTAAGCTAATTGTAGTTGTTAGTGACTTAAAATCCTAGAAAACTGGGGATTTCTTTCAGTGTTATCTTTCTTCTTTTTTTCATAAGGATGGAATGTCAGAGTGTTTCTCAGATGTAGAAAATATGAAAATGCTTGAATTACTTTCTCATTTGTAGGCAGAATATATGTTTTAATGTATATTCAATAAATGAATGGATCTGTCTGTATCTGTCTCCCTTTGAATATAGCCATTCATTTATCTGTCTAGTGAGAAGTGGACAAAAAAACCAAAACATGTATAGCTGAAGAACATGTACGATGGAGTTGAGAACATGTACAATGGAGTGAGACAAATGATAATAGTTCTGGCATTTTTGAAAATGATAGAGATAGCAGGGAAATTAGGAACTCTTCTTCTTCATTGATGATAATTCTGGAGATAGGGGCTTCTCTAAACATGTTCTACCTAAATATGCAAATTCTTGAGCACCACCTACACCTGTACAATTAAAATTGCCAGTAGTGGGCTCTGATAGGGTACACTTAACACATCCTCTTTGGATAGTTCTGATGTGCAACATAACATCAGGTCATTATTTTTTAATGTTTTATCTTTCATCATCTCAGGCTACATATATCTTTATTGTAAAGATTTGAATTAATACACTAACCTTATGATGTTTTGGGTTGGAACTGAAAGTAGAACCTTGGCAACAGAAATAAAAGTAGACTCCAAAATATGATAGCCAAATTCAAAGAAATACCATCTTAGTTTTTAGGAACATTGAATAAATGGCTTTGACTTTTTTTTCCAGTATTTTTCTATATTCTTTAGCCATCTTACCAAGAAATAATAAAGCATGTTGAAAGTAATTTTTGAATCTGTGTTGAGACCCAGAGGGTATTTTTTTTGTAATCCTAGAAACACATATTGATATACAGAAATATTTCCCCAGGAATACTAAATTGATTTATGTAACTAGAAAGTTGTACCTTTGTTTTTATTTTCTGTGTATTTAGGGCCCATACCTTAGTCAGTTGTCTTGTTTGTACTCCTGTAGCACTCATTATAATACTTTGCACAGAGAAGGTCTGAAGTGGATCTTTTGAGTAAATGGTCAGTGGACTGCATGTGTTTCACATTAATGTGGAATATGAATATTTTGTCTTTGAAAGTAGTTTAGTGAGTCTTTATTTTCAGAGTAGTAAAAGAAATAACCTCTCTGACCCTTTAATCAAATACATAATGGTAATAGTATTTTCAGGTATTAATTCAGCAACTTTTTTCCAAGTAAGCTATAATTTATTTGTAAACTCTACCTTGTTTGTACTAATTTTGTTGAAAAATTTAAAAGACATTTCTAGGTGATAGGAAATAGTTTTTATAGTTAGTATTCAAGCAATTATAAATTGTTATGAACCACCCCTCTTAAATGAGTTGACTTCAACTCCAAACCAAAATACCAATTGTTTAAAAATCACAAAGGATAAAAATTTTTCATTCATTCATATTTATTTTTGACTTTAAAAAAATTAGGTTTGTTTTCTGTTAACCTATTTACTGATATTTTCTTCTTTGTAGTTTCATTATTTATACTGACATTAGATCTTTGCTTTGTTAGTTTCAGTGTGCATTTCCTCAGTTCTTTTAAATAAGTGTTTACTTAGTGTATCAATCCTGCTATTGTTATAATAGATACATAGTATTTGTATCCCCCCTTCTTGTTTCCTGTCTCCATATAATAAACTTTTATATTTCTAATGTCTTACCCCTTCCAAATGGCTTGTAACCTTTAACTGCACTCTTGAGTACTTAAAAAAAAATTGTGTAATCTCTTTCTATATCATCATTTTAGATCTCTCTTATTCTTTTTTTTTTGTGTGTGTGTGAAGATTTCATGCCTGTACCTTCTTATATGAGGCCTTAAACATAGGGAATACTCAAAAAATATTTCTTACATGAGTGAATCTTGTGTTTTATTCACTTTGGATACATTTATTTGGGTCTAATAGTTTTATTTACTTACTTACTTATTTATTTCACTCTTTCTTTCTTTTTTAAAGTTATCTCTTATAGGGTAACTTGTAATTTATTTTAAGGACACCATAGCCCCTTCCATCTTCTCTTTGAGCTCTAATTTTTTAATAAGATAATACTATATATACTAACCATTAGTTTTTGTTTTCTTTAATGTAGATTATATGATTCCACACAGGAAACTTTCTTTACACTAATGATTTCTTCAGACCTCTTTTGTGATTCTATTAAGCAAAACAAGTTTCCTTTCTGGGCACACTCTTCTAGTCAAATATTTTGCTTTCACCCTGACATTGCTGTCTTGATATGTATTTTCTCATACATTTAAATGTTCACTGTCTAGCATTTTAAGGAAGAACTCTGTTTACCAAAGTTCATTACTGTTGCTCCAGCTGGTCTCCCTGGCATTCATGCCTGGTTCTTTGTTGACATAAGCTCTGTGAGGTAGAGTTGTTTTTTCTCTTCCCAGAAACATCATGTCAATAAATAATTATCTAAAAACATTAAACCCTAGAGAGCCTAACATATGTTTTCATTAGCTTTATACCCATTAATTCTGGCTTTTTAGGTTAAGGATTGAGGATTCTCAGCAATATCAGGCCAAGGCTAAAGAGCAGTATTGTTGCACACTTTTGGTGAATAAAGCGTAGGAAAATTATGGTGGAAATGCTGTGATGTGATGGCTTGAAATGAGTCAGGTACATTCCCATACATTGCATTCCAGTAGAGATTGTTTCCAGGCAAAACAGGCTGTTTCTTCTGCTATTCTGGAAACTTTTGGAAAGGCCAGATAATCTCTAGATATCTCTGGGATACAAAGATCTGTTTACATATTTTTTACCACCAAGAGTCACCCCTTTTTTTGTGTGCTTTTAATTATAGGCAAGATTTGAGAGAGCTTATTAGTGCTACTATCTGTGAGGTTGTGGCTAACTGTTACTCTTGGCCAGGCATGATGGTGTATGCCTATAATCCCAGGAGGCTGAGGCAAGAGAATCTCTAGTTCAAAGCCAGTCTCAGCCAACTAGTGAGGACCTAGACAACTTAGAGGACCCTGACTCAAAATAAAAAATAAAAAGGGCTGGGGAATGTGGCTCCGTTTTTAAGTGCCCTGGGGTTTAATTCCTAGTGTCCAAACAAAATCAAAAACAAAAAAGCTCTAAAAGTTATCATCTCACAGGGTAAGAGATTCAAACAGAGTGAGTGTCAGATAATTTCCCTACCATGATAATCATTGATAAATAAGAAAATTAGCTGGCTCATGATCTAGTAGATTATAAGAATAGTCTTGTGGTGGAATAAACCTGAGCTGTTGCCTCTTTTTAAGCATTGTTCCCGTCATCTCCAGTTGTCTTTGCCTCTCCCCCTTGTGCTCATTTTTAGTTTTTTAAGCTTGTCTTCACTTTAATCACCACACATTCTGACTATAAAAAGATAAATCAAAATGCCCCTCAAATAGCCACTCCCAAACCTGGCCTCCTCCCTCCCTTCCTTCACATTGTTTAAAAAATTTTTTTAAATATTTTTTTAGTTGTTGATGGTTCTTTATTTTATTTGCTTATTTATATGTGGTGCTGGGAATCAAACTCAGTGCCTCATGTATATAAGGCAAGTGCTCTACTGCTGAGCTACAACCCCAGCCCCTAAAAAAAAAAAAAAAAAAATTAAGGTGGTTTTTATTTTCTTGTTTTTTTAATAGTGTATCAGATTTTAAATTTTTCTTTAATGAATATATCACTTTTGAAATGAGAAAAGCTTTTTAAAATAAATTTTCTTTTAAAGAAAATAATAATCAAATACTATTGTGCTTTCTTATTTCCCTTAATACTGTCTGTGTTGAGGCAGACAGGAAGAATTATGCAGGATCTGCATTTCAATCATAGGATCCCTCTTTTTCACACTTGGCTCTGAATGCAAAGAAGACACCTAGTTGAACATCAGTTGTCTGTTACTGGGTGCCCTGCACTTAGCTTTCCTCTCGGAACTTCCGGTGCTCTTCATCCTTGGTGGAGATGCACTTTTCTACCCAGTGTTGCACTCCTACTCCATGAAGGACTTCCTTTAACATTTAACCACCAACACTGCTGCTCATGAATTCTTTTACTTTTTTTTTCTTTTTTCAGTACTTTTTCCAGACTTGTTTTTTTTTCTGTTTTGAGTTACTTGGGGGTTACCATCAGAAGTGTTTCTTTACAAACACATTACATTAGAACATGCTATAAATATTGATTTTCTGATTATAAATTAATCATATATGATAGGCATTGTGAAAATCCTGTTGAAATATAGCAGCTTCAACCCATGTAATAATTCTCCCTCTCCCTGTCATTGAGAATGTGCCCTTTGGGCTTTGATTATAGATTGAGTTCAGACACTTTAGCTGAAATATTTTGTTGTTAACCATACATGTATATTTTATAAAGAGCAGGGAACTATACCATTTCAGTCTAAAGGAAAGCCTTTTTGACTATATCCCTAGTCACTGTAAAATGTTATCAATTGTCAAATAAGTATGTACAAATGACATTTTAAAGTTATAAAGGTAAATATGTTACCTTTATAATAGTTCATGGGTGAAAAATATTGAAAAATATGACAAAATATGAAGAAGAAAACAAAACTAGCATTTTGTTTTGAGGTATTGGTGAGGTCAGCATTTTTATATAAAAATCATCATTAACATTCCTTATTATTTTTTTGGAACTAATTCCTAGGACTATAATTACCACATCAAGGTGTATTGCATTTCAAACACTTTAGAAATACATTGCAAATCTGCCCTTTTGAAAGGGTGTTCAGTTTGTACTCAGGGTCTAGTAGCCTCCTGCCCCCTCATTCAGGCTGAATATTGTGTAATAAAAATCTTTAATAATTTGGCAATTATTAAAGACATTATTACTTTTAAGTTTTAATTTCTTCTTTTTGAGCCTTTCCAAATGTTTACTGGCCATATTTCTTTTATTCTTTTTAAAATAAATTATTTTGTTTGCTTTGTTCCTGTTGCATATTTTACAACCAAGTTATTGACTTTTTTTAGGACTAATCTCCATAAATGTCATACCAACTCCCCTCACTATGTGACCTCACAGAACTTTCTTCCCTATTCCTCCACTCTCACAAGTATGAGCAAGTACAGTAAACAGAATTAATATGGAATTCTAAACTTACATATAGAAAATTCTGTATTTTTTTCTTGTTCTTAATGTTCCTATTTATTGCTTTCAAAATTAGAGACCTACCACTTTGAGACATCCAGGGGCCTTTTCGTAGACTACTTCCTCTGTCTTTTTCAGCATCATAATAGGGATTTCTATTTCTAGTGAGATCTATGCTCTCTTGTTTGACATTTTCTGGGTTCTCCTTTATAGACCCTTTTCTCCTTTGTTGTTGTTTTCTTGTTTTAAATTCTATATTGTAAGAAGGTACAGATCCAGAACCAAAATGGCTGAGAATCAGAAAAAAGAAAAATAAAAAAGTACAAAATTAGAAAACAAGCAAACTTCCAGCATACCTGATTGGTAGCAAAGAAAATTTCTATTGCTTTTTGAGAATTATACTGACAACTAAAAAAATGACACCTGTGTTTACATAACTTAAAGTGTATTTCTGTGGTGACACAGTTTAATTAGCTTTGTGAGTCCTCTTGGCCATCTCAGTGCTTCTTCTAAAACTGTGATATCCATTTAAGCTGATACACAAAGAAATAAAATGATGACTTATAAAAAGAACATGTATCAAAAATTCTGTTAAGCTCCCTAGAGAATTAGGAAACTAGCATTAGAATTAGGAAACTAGATATTAAATATGGTTAAAAGGGTATTTAAAAACTAGACATTTTGGCTGTGGATGTAGCTCAGTGGTAGACTACTTGCCTAGGATGTGAGTCCCTGGGTGTGATTCCTACTATTGAAAAAACAAAACCAAAACAGTCAAAATAATGTCAGCTTAGCTCA